AGTCGCTACTGAAGGTGTGACTTTCAGCAGTGACAAGATATAGTCACCACTAATTGTCAGATTTTCAGCGATGACTTTTACTGTTGCCGCTGATTATTAGCATTTTTTTAAAATATGTTATAATTTTTTTTAAAAAATTATGTTGCAAGTTTTAGCAGCGACATACAAGTCAACGCTGAAAGTCAAGAATCAGCGACGACTTTTTAGTGTCGCCGCTGATTGTCAGCTTTTTTAATTTCTTTTAAAAAAATTATGTTGCAAGTTTTAGCAGCGACATACAAGTCGCCGCTGAAAGTTGACTTTCAGCAGCGACTTTTTAGTGTCGCTGCTGGTTGTCAGCATTTTTTAATTTCTTTTAAAAAATTATGTTCCAAGTTTCAGCGGTGACTTTTTAGTGTCACCGCTGATTGTCAGCATTTTTTTTTTTGTTTTCAAAATTAGATTAAAGTAAAATATATTTTTGATAGGAAAAATATATTTTTGTTTTACAAATTTCATGAGTTCTTTTTATTTAAATTTCAATTTATTTTCATTTCCATTTATTTAACCAAGTTGTATGTATGTATGTATGTATGCATGCATAAATACCTCAGAAGCACGGACATGGCAAAATGGCCGGCGTGTCCGTTCCGGCGGACGTGGGCGGATGCGGGTCGAGAAGGGCGGACGCGGGTCGGACGCGGGCAGACGCGAAACTCTGTGTTTTTCAGTTCCTTTTACTCAGTCCCAGCTCCAGAAATCCGATGCCCTAACATTTTCAGCTCCAATCGACCCCCCTTCTCATGTTTTCTACTGTAGCTTCACTGCCTGTGCTTCTAATTCTCGTTCTTCATCTCTCACGTTTATTCACGGTTCACGCTGCGTCGCTGCCTCACCCGCTCTGCTCTGCCTCTGCCTCTGCCTATTCACAGTTCACGTTTATTCTCGACCGTCTGCTCTGCCTCTGCCTCACCGTCGTTCTTCAACTTCATTGGTAATTTATTCTGTATGGTCGGTTGTTTTTCAGCTTCATTTTCAGTTTCTCTTGTTGTGCTACTGATGGAGATTTTATTATTATTATTATTGCATTATTGGATAATTTGTGTGCTGCTGATGGATATTTTATTATTATTATTATTGCATTATTGAATAATTTGCTCACTGCTGAACCGAGAGAGTTGTCCAGAACAATTGAATTACTGATTTAAATTTTTTTTTAGATGGATTATTTTGTTGAATTAAATATTGATTTATTTTAAATTTTTATTAGCTCTCTTCTTGTTAAAATTGTAGGATATTATTTAAAATTAAACCTGTAATGGCTTCTAATTTTAGACCAGGTAGTAGTTCAGGAAGTGTGAATTCTTAATTTCAATCTAGTAATGAAAGACATCTTGAAATTATATTTTGTGATGGCATTAGATATCTTGAAATTATGTTTTTGGATATCCAAATATTTAATATTTAATTATTTATATAGCCGTACCCATATCCTAAAATTTTAAAAAATAGCCGTGTCCGAATATCGTATCGTATCGTACCCGACACTCATACCCGTATCGGTGCTTCTTAGATAGATACACATACATATCTTGTAATATTACAAGTAGAGAGAGGTTTATATTAAGAGATAGAGAAGGGGCCATTTAACTCAATGCCTACAAAATCAAAAGTCTTCTGATTTTATAGAAGTTTAGAAAAATCATGGTTAAATAAGCTCTTTTGATTTGCTTCACTTAATTACCTTTTTTTTTGTGCTTAAATTATTTTTTAACAATATTTAACTCTTGTTTTTCTTTTGCTTTTTCTTTTTCTTCTTTTGTCATATTTGTTTTTCACCCGTGATTTCTTGTGTTTTTTTCTATTTCAAAAAGAATTTGGATATTCTGTACAAATATCTCTTTCAAATTTTTCTCTTATTTAATTTATTCTATTTTCTATTTTTGAGATTTCTATTTGTTCTTCAATTATTTTATAATGTATTTCTTTATTTCTACCTCTTTTACCTTTCTTTTAGGTTCACTATTCCTATTTGATCATAGACTAAGACTCTTAAGACTTATCTTATTCTTCTTTTTTGACTTAGATCCTAATATCTTATCGAACCATCTCATATTTCTATTTCTACAAGTTTTATTTTCTATTGATATTATTCTTTTTAGGCTGAATAGGAACACCATTGCCTAACTTTCCTATTCTCTCACAGGATTTTTGAATATTATATTTCTTAAATATTCTCTGTTTGTTACTAAACTTACTTGGCAATATCATTTTTTTATAAGTTATATGTGATATTATGTTCATGTATCCTTGTTGATTTATTTCAAAAGGGGTGTTATCTATTCATTTTCTATATTTTCTTCTACTTTTATTTTACTAGTTATAACAAAGAACAATAAATTCTACTGTTTTAACATATGGACAAATAATTAATATTATAAAACTTTTAGAAAAGATAATTTTAAAAAATATAAAATAGAAATAGTTTGTTATAAATGTGAAAGATTTGGCCATTTTTATAATTTTTTTAAAAAAATTATGTTGCAAGTTTCAGCGGTAACTTTTTAGTGTCACTGCTAATTGTCAGCATTTTTTATTTCTTTTAAAAAAAATATGTTGCAAGTTTCAGCAGCAACATACAAGTCGCCGCTGAAAGTGAACTTTCAACGGCGACTTTTTAGTATCACCGCTGATTATCAGCATTTTTTAATTTCTTTTAAAAAAATTATGTTGTAAGTTTCAGCGTCGACATGCAAGTCGCCGCTGAAAGTTGACTTTCAGTGGTAACTTTTTAGTGTCGCCACTAATTGTTTGCATTTTTATAATTTTTTTACTAATGTATAATCATCAGTATTTTTACTATTTATTCTTAGATATTTTTTATATTATAATTATAAATATGAATATTAAAATAAATAATATAACAACCTCAAGAAGTAAAAAAAATTAAAATAAATAATACAAATTATATTGTATCAATTATATTTATAGTTTACTTTAAACAAAATAAATAATATAATTTATAATTTTATAAATTGAAAGAATTAAATTGAAGTATTTAAGGATAGTAATGATATTTTATAATATTTAATATTTAATATATATGTGTGTTTATATAGTTTAATAATATGTGTATATATATATATTTATATTTAATTATGCAATAATAGACTACAGGTTCATTCTAGCTCAGTGGCAAAATGATTGGACACAAAAGAAGGAGGTCATGGTTCAAACTTTGGAGGAGACAACTTTCAAAATGAAAATATAAATTAATGACATGATGAGCGTGTGGTGAGAGTGACACATGAAGGATGACATGGCGTCACGTGGTGCGAGGTGGGGCCCTATGTGGAGGGTGACATGGCGCCACGTGGCGTGTGGTGAGAGTGACACATGGAGAGTGACATGGCGACACGTGGTGCGAGGTGGGACCTTATGTAAAGGGTGACATGGCATCATGTGGCGTGAAGTGGAGCACCACATGGTACACGTTTGCCTAAATTTTAATTTTATCAAGTCGCCACAATGTCTTGTATACATAGTCTCATCTTACTTTTCTAGTTTATATGTTATATAATGATTTTGTTTTGGTACAACTATGCCTTGCCCAGTGCCATCGAGTAAAATACTAGCATTATATATATATATATATATATATATTGTAATTTTTAGAATTGATGTTGAGTCGTTTATACATTCATTTTTTGGTTGAAAGTGCGCGTGAGACAATTATAATTAATTTTACAGTAGTTAGTATTAGAAATAAAGAGGTCAAAGAAGCCCCATATCTAGATATTACAAAATAAATTATAAATATATAAAGCTTGAGATATATCTGACTAAAGAACTTAAGTTATTTTGGGGAGAAAAAATATTCTTAAATTTACTTAATATAAAGAACTAATAAAAAAATTCAATGTGATATTAGAGCCATTCAATCAAGGGCAAAAAAATTGAGAAAAGGAAAAATAGATGGAGGCAAAACAAAAAGAGATTAAAAAAGAGAGAGAAGGAAAAGAAAATTGAATAGACCTGAGCCTCTAAAACTAAAATGATGTACAAGCCCGAGCACAAAAGAAGAAAAAATTTTAAAAAAAAACTAAAAAAGAAAAATAGTAGAAAGAATATTATATATAAAGAAATCAAAGAAATCCCACATCTAAAAATTAGACGATAAATTAGAAATATATAAACCTTGAGATATGTCTAATCAAATAGCTCAAGTTATTTTAGGAAAGTAGACTATTATTAAGTATACTTAATATATAGCATAGAATTTAACAGTTGGAACCTCCAAAAAAAAAATTATACTTACATTTGTAGCACAATTTCTGCCATAGTGTGAGCCATTAACAATTTTGGAAGGCAAAAGGAATAGCGACAAGTTCATCAAGAGGCAACCTTCCTTCCTCATTGAAATAACTTCCAATCTTATTAGTTTCCTTCTGATGATCATAAACCTTAATTATTTCATAAGTCAAATCTGTTAAGCATGTTATATTTCACACTCAGAAATGAGAAGAGAGGATGAAAAAACACTAGACGGCTGAATTATAATCGTAAAAATTAGCATAATATAACATAGGGTTCAAGACCTCTTTTTTGTTTAATTTTTTTTAGGACCGTTAAACACTCTATAGTGAAGGGTGGGGTAATATGTCTCCTAAATTTTTTCAAGAATAAAATCACCCTTCCGTTAAAGACCTATCATCTTTTTATATGGATTAATTGTAGGGCACATGCATAATGATAGTAAGGCATTTCAACCTATTTTGATCATTTGACATGGATCAAAGGGGTTGATGCCTTGATGTCATCGTACATGTATGTGTGTGTGTTTATGTATGCCCTACAACTATTGTACATAAGCAGAAAACAGGGAAAATGACTGGTCTTTGATAGAAGGGGCTTTTTCTCCTAAAAATTGTTTAGGAGGAATATTACCCCATCTTTTAGTACAAGTGCCTAGCATTCTCAAGAAAAGGTCAGGGAGAAATGGTCTTTAATCCTATAACAAACTAACCGAAGTTTTTTCTCCGAATAGTACAATGAAGTATAGTATCACCATTGTTTCTTCTCCAGAGTTGAGTGGATGACTCTGTATTATCCATCTCACTACAAACTTTATAGAGATGAAAGAAGGTCTCTTTGTGGCCACTAAGAGCAGCCGAGAAGAGAGGTGTCTCTCCCTCCTTGTTACGCTCAAGAACCAATGACTTGTCAACATCTGTTATTTTTTCGCAAATGAGTTTAGAGCCCCTTGAGGCAGCACAGTGCAATGGAGTATCTCCTCGTTTATTCTTGGCTTTCAGAATCTCCATGCCCCTTCCATATTCCTCCTTATATATTTGATCAACCAGTGCCTCAGCAATAGATTCTGGTGCCTTGTTAGTGATAGCCCAGTGCAACGCAGTGTCGAACTCATACGCGTGTTGATCATCATCGTCTTCTTCTTCACCAGGATTCTCAACAGTTTTAGATTCTGTTGCCCCATTTTGATTATCAGGACTCTCATTTTTTGGCTGCATCACCATATCGCAGATCTTGGAGTCAAGAATCTGTGCATGACTTTGGAACAGCTTTTGCAGATCGTTCCAATTTTCTTTCATAAGGACATTGTAGAGTTCTTCCTTTCCCACTGCAGATCGTTCCATTATTGCAAATCCTTGCTTCTTCACTTAGCTGTGGGGAGAGTCAAACAAACTATATATGTGACATGGCAAATTCAGAAAGTGAGTATTATTACTAATTGTAATTCTTTCAAGCATGATTAAAAATACAAAACAATACAAATATTCTTCAATTTGGTCATTCAACTTAAAATTATCATGCAAAAAAATTTTAAGAAAACAAAGTTACATAAAACAAATAAACTTGTATTTCTTAAAGAACATCAAACTTACAATATAAAATTATATACACTACAAACTTCTATATGTACTTTAATGATACTTTTTAGGGATAATGAAACTTTTAGGTCCTATTTGGTCATTAGAAATAAGTGAAATGGAATGGATTGAAAAAAAAAAAAAGATGATCAAAAGGGATAGGTGAACACATCCATAAGAGAGAAGGATAATGTAATTCATGAGGTTAAAAATCATTATTCATGAGATTTTTGGAGGATATGATGATTCAAATAGTTGTAGTATATATTAATGAGTTTAATAATATTTATCATAGGAGAACTTATCATGGGGGAAGGGGGGTTGAGTTAATTTTTGTTTTGATCTTTTCAATCCATTACATTCCATTTCTTTCTAATAACTAAACAGGATCTTATTCTCTTAAATTTATCTTAATTATCGATTTAATTTTTGAAATTTAATATTCATTAATCAAGTTCCCAAAGTATCATAAAATTAACATTGTGTTATTTCCCCTTTTAACAATAAGGACTAAATGTGTACGATTGCAAAACTTTAAGAAATTAATTGCATAATTGATAAAGTTTAAATTTAAAAGATTAAATCAATGACTATAGCAAACTTATGGGACCAAAGACATTTATATCATTTTTATCTAATTATTACAGCCCCGCCCTTAACAAAATATATGGGATAAATGAGCTAACCCTATGGGTCTAGCCTGTATTCCCAACATTACCCCTGATACCCAACTCCTCTAATGCTCATTACAGTAGAATGCCCCGCCCTTCTAATTTTATTTTTCATTCTTTTATTATTAGTTTCTACATATAACACAAAAAACCATTCTAACATCTTGTAGTCATGAAACACTGCAATTTTTTATTCTTTTTAGTAATTTTTTTTAAAATCAAAACGACATAATTTTCAGGGTCCTTTCTGAAAAATTATAAATATACAAATTCACAATGTATTATGACTGCAAAATAATAAAATGGCTTCCATGTTATGTGAAACCTAACGATCAAAAAGAAAAATATAATGAATCTGGGAGAGTGGGTCATCATTACAAAAAGCATTAGAGCTGGTGCATTCGTGACTCCAAGCCCAAGTTAATTTTGGAGGCCTTAAATGGCTAAACCCATGATTGGCTAATAGTTTTTGGAGGAGGAAGACATGATTGTAGTGTAATGCCGAATGAAACGCCGATTGTAAGGTGTGTTTAGATTAAAAAATTTATAATTGAGATTAGAATTCAATTGAGATTAACAAATTAAGGTTAGAGAAAAAATCAGTTAATGTAATGTAATTTATATTTTGATATTTTTTTTTCAGAAGTCAGTTAGATAAACTGATATTTGTTTGAATGATTTGATTAAAAAGTCAGTTGAGATATTTAATGACAAAAATAAACATAAATTTTTTACATATTTTTTGATTAATTAATAAGTAAAAAATAATAAACTTAAAATTACAATTAATAAGTAAAAAAATCTTAAATATTCAATTATGAAAAGCTAAAAAAATCATAAATTACAAAATATTTAATTGATATGATCTACAAGTTGATCTCTAATTATATCATGAAAGCGATGCATCTATCTTGTCAATCCAAATAAATTTGATGAGGATGTTTCACCAGTATTAATATCTTGCTCATGGAATTGTTTTATGATAATTGAAATTTATCAGATAATTATTTGAAAGAGAATTTTTCAAAATGAGTTAAGCTTTAAACATACAGTACCTAGTCATGATATTTTTTTTAAAAAAAATTGTAACAATAATAGTAGTAGTAGTAACAGTAATAGTGATAAACAATAAGATTAAGTAGGATTAAAAAATAATTTGTTTTCCCACAAAAAAAGATTTTTAATCATCTAAATATTGAAAGTTATGTTTACAAGTGAAGTTTACTCGTTTTCATTTTATGGAAGTATTAAAAAATGATAGAAAATTATAAAAAGATGATTTGATTATTTATGAAATCATGATATATTATTTTTAAAATTATGGAGGAATTATATATTAAAAAAGAAAATTCAAGACAAAGAAGAAGTGAAAAAAATGGCAGGATCCACTGTATTGCCCCTTCTCCTTCCCATTTCCATTTCATTACTTTTGCTAGATGCTTCATCTTCCAGCGTACGTGATAGCGAGGAGAGAGAAGACGCCAACGATGATGAAAAAGCTTAGTAGATGAGCTTTGTTCAAAATGCTGGTTTGGACCCTAACTATGGTTGATTTTTTTTTTTTTTTTGCTATCCAAACATGATAAATTCAGCTTTTAAGATCCCAACTTAGGTTTGGTTCATCTCAACTTAAATTAAGACTCAATCCAAACATGCACTAAATCATGGGGGTTCGTTAACTCACAAAAAATACACTCTAAGCATCTTCAAGTTCATAACTAAGCCAAAACACATTTTGCACTCTCATATATTAAAGCCATGCATGCATGCATGCATTTTTGGACCTGGGAAGTTGCAAAAACTATTCCCACCAATTCATGAAATTGAATAATGGCAAAATTTGCACACAAAAACTCAAAGCATATTATGCTTAAGAGCCCAGACTTCTTCATATTTGCAGTAAAGCCCCATGGGTTTATATTGGACCAATTCATTAAGGGTGGATAACCCAACATTAACAATAATAATGAGCAATTAGTAAGAGGATAAAATTTTACCTAACTGAAAGAAGGAGCAAGCTTGAAGAAACCTCCTCCCGGTTGGTTCGAATAAGTAGCTAGATGCAGCTATGGGATAATAAGGATGGAGTGGCAAGAATAGGATGCACCTACGTGTGATTGAAACTATAATTGATGGGGAGAAAGATAGGTTTAGATTCTTCAGCTTATATAGGACATTGCAGCTTTGAAGGGGTCAAACTCGATGTCTGTCTTTAGTAGGCGTTGGTTTCTTTATTAATGTTATTACCAATTTTTAATTAATTTTTAATGAACGGAAGTGCAGCTTCAGAATAATTATGGCGATTTTGAAATTGCAAGATATAAGTTTAGATCTTTAAGAATTCTAGATAGTAAATTTTTTTGCAATGTTCAGAGAGAGAAGAGAATAAAGATTAAATGGGAGAAAAGGAAGTGAGCCCTATATATACACCCCTTCACTATGTTTCATTCTCCATTTTTTCTTTTGGCCGAACATTGAAATTTTCTGTTTTTATTGTCTTCAATTGTCTATTTTTTTTTATAACCAAAAAGTTTAGATAAGTTGGCTCTTGGGACTCAAGGCATACCTCTAGGTTTAAAAAGCGAGCTTATAGAGATATTTATAGATTGCCAAAAAATAAGATCCTCACATCAGCAACTGGATTTGGAATTGCAATCTTTTAGGTTATGAGTTACATTCTTATCAACTAAACTAACATTTATCATACTAACTGAACACTTTGAGGATTTATAGTCTTCCATTTATCACAAGGGCAATTCAACGTTGAATTTGTCAAATTTTCTCTCTTTGGTGGACAGAATTTCGCCCATCGGGATAGACTCAAAGTTAATGCTATAGAAAACAAAATTAAGATGTCGTGGTCCAAACTTGAGTGATAGTGAAATTCAAGTAATCAATTACTAGTATTGGCATTGAACCGTGAATAAATGATGCTCCAAGGTTATGCCCTCCTGTATTTACAAATATTTCTTTACTAAGTAAATAACTTGTTTAAGTTTTAAAGTGAATTCCTAAAAATTCAAAAATTTTCTTTAAAAATTATTTTATCATACTGACTTTAAATAAATTAAAAAGATATTTACTTTCTGTATATAATTGACCAATAAAAATATAATATACCATTATCATGATATATTCCTACCCATGAAATTAGTCTTTCCTCTTTTTTTTTTTTGGACGTTTTATTTACAAACTGAGACGATATTTTGTCCAAAAGAAGGTTTATTTTGAACCGCTACGAGGACGCTTCCAATTGAGGTTTTATTTTCGTTATTCCCTTTGTAACTTTCCTTGTTTTGTCCTTTGCATATCTTGACAACTTGTCTTGTCCTTAACTAGGAAAAACGAAAATCGATTAAGAACTCTTAAAGTAAACCAAAGAGAAACCAACGGGGTTGAACATAATGAAATGGGCTAATCATGTGGCAAATTAAAGTTTGAATTCTTATTAAAAAAGGTGTCTACATTTAGTACCTAACTATGTACTGAAAAAAATTGCTTTCAATAGGAGAATATTTATGAGCAATTAAAAAAAAATGTCCACATAAAAAAAAGCCACGGATAGAGCCATGCCGTGTATTTAAAAATTAAGCAAGTCAATAAGTATTTAGATAAAGAAAAGTCCTACATTTTTCCCACAAGAAAAGTCCATCTTATTGTCATTGTTCAGTGCATATCTAGCACATCCCAATTTAAATAGTCAAACCAATCATCCCTACGTTATAACTACAAATCATACATACATTGATTCAGAATTATTGTATACCTAACAATTAAATAATCATCATAATTACGCTCCCAACTTTTCTTAGTTGTTTTATCCAAAACCCAAAACCCTACGTACATGATACATATGATGAAATTTATTGTGGGATGTAGAAGTTATCAGAACGTTGGCATAGTTAGACTAATTAAGTAGGGATGTACTTGACTCTCTAATTTAATTTAAATAGAAATATTCGGACGAGCTTACTATCATAGATGGCTGGTTCTCTACCAAGACCCCCCACAAGGAAAAAAATATTAATCAATCAACAAAGGTTAGTTCAATTGCTAATAATTTGAACTACAACCTACAAAGTTGAGAGATCAAAT